GCCCTCGGTAGAGAGAACCTGATGCCAGACAATACATAGTCCACCGTATACTGAAAAAAAAACCGAAACTTCCCCAACTTCTGGAGAGTCATATTATCCACAGCCAGAAAATCTGAGTATTTCATTCACACACTAATACATCTGTATGTCAGAGACCATCCCTCAGATGTTTAACTGGCAGAATGGAAATATGGATTTCTGGAATTCACCATTCCTTTCACGGACCGAAATGCAGCTCAGATTCTGGGAGCCAGCTCCAGTGCTAAAGTCCGAAGGGTTCTAATCGCCCAGACCATAAAATACCCTTCCAAGGCTCCTCCTTGTGAGGTTCTCTGAGGTGGACACCACATCAGTAGACAACTTAATAAGACACTGTTTTCTAAGCTCTGACCCATGATAGGCCTCATATCTATATTTTATCTTTTTGGGGGAAAATGCCTAGATTTCACCTCTCTGAGTTTCTACCCCAAAATGTGTAAAATCTGTAAGTGGACATGGCATAAATGATGTCCCTCCCTACCCAGAGACGCATGTCCTTTTTCATCCTGCTTATTTGGCTCCAAGTATGCATTACTCTCTTCTCAAGACCCCAGGAGGAAGAAGCATCTGCGGGCGTCGGGGCTGGCAACCAGGAAGAGCGAGGGCTCGGCCCACTGAGGTGGGCTCCGCTGATAGTGAGAAATGAAGCAAAGGGAAGCCGCCTCCAGGCCCAGAGCCAAAGCCAGTCCTGAAGCCTTGCTGACATCCCCAGCCCTCATCTCATTAGCTTCTGAGGCTGAGAAATCCCCTAGTTTAGAATCTCCTAGTTTATCATCCAAGAAGGCAGATAAGAAAATGATCTTATTCCCAGCTTCCTTATTCCTTCCCACTGGTGTATGCATATAAGTGACTGGTTGCCTTTAGGTAAAATGGTAGATACTACGGACCAGTGCCCGGAATGGGTTGCAAATGTCCTTCAAAGCAGCATGAAACTGAAACACTTCCACTGTTCCACTGGCATGCAGCGGGGAATGGCACTTGAATTCATTAAACTTCTCCTCTAACCAGTGAATACAGATTTGTGTTTGTTTACATCACTGCAGTAGAACTTTGTCAAACCATGAAGCTGTAAAAACATGTAACTCTATAATTCATGTATTTGGTTCACATTCATTCTGTCTGTACATTGACCCCAACTTCCTAAATCTATCTTTCAGTCATTAAAAATAGCATTGGAGGGCCGGCCTGTGGCTCACTTGGGAGAGTGCGGTGCTGATAACACCAAGGCCACGG